CATCACTCTTCTACTCTGAACACTCCAAAGGCTCCCATCTCATTTCAGAGCAAAAGTTAAAGTCCTTAAAGAGGCCTACCTGTGTCCCTGGTTAACTATCCAGCCTCCCTTCCCCCTATTCTTCCCTTTGCTCACTGGGCTTCAGTCACCATGGCCTCCTCACTGTCTTTGAAGGCACCACGCTTTTTGAACTGGTTGTTTCCTCTGCCTGGAACATACTTCCTCCAGTTATCTGCATAGTCCACTCCCTCACTCTCTTCAGGTTGTTGCTCAGAAGTGACCTACCTCTATTTCTACTTGACCCTTTTATGTGGCACTTCCAGTCCCTTTTATGTGGCTCCACAGTGTCCTTTCTCTCATAGCACTTAATATATTATGTAATTAAAAAAAAATACATTATGTAATTTACTTGTCTATTTTGTATTGTCTCTTTGAGGGCAGAAACCTTTGTTTTGTTCACCACTGCAACCCAGTCCCTTGAACAGTGGATGGCAATAAAGAGTCTCGCCCAGTAGTATTCACTAAATGGATGAGTCCCTGGTGTCTAGCACAGGTCGTGACAAACAGAACATGTTAATTAGTATTTAGTAAGTGGATTTCCTGAGGATATGATTTAGGCAGAGAAAGTTTCCCGGAGGAGAGGGCTTGAAAATGGACCTTAAAAGTAGAGCCAGACATAGAAAAAGAGTGAGGAGAGAAGGCATATCAAATTTGAGTGATTTGGGCAGACAGTTCTGTAGACTGGTCTTTCTCACTAGCGTGATGGGTAGCAGCTAAGGCCTCTGACCAGCGGAAATCCTAGCCTCCAAGGCTAGTAGTGTCCTTGGGAGTGAGAATTTGGAGGCGCCCACTCCTTCCCCACACCCTTTTCCATTTGGCTCACGTGAGGGGTCTCTCCACGCGGCTGCCCTGGCCTCCGATCACCTCTCCTAGGGCCAGAAATGTTTGTCCCAGGAAGTCCTGCTCAGAGACGAAGAGTCAGACAGACCAGGAGGGGCGGTGCTGTACACCGTCAGGGCGTTCCGTACTCCCCTTCTTGGTCCCACTATCATCAGTCCGGGGCCCACACCCGCAAAGTCCAGTCCGATTCAGACTCACCTTCTGAGGGTCCCAGCCGCAGCCGAGGAAGGAAGCAGCACAGTGAGGAAGGGGTGCAGGGGGAACCTAAGCAGGGGCTGGAGTGGAGGCCAGGGGAGGGTGGGTTTGGGGTCCGGAAGAAGATGGAGTTAGGATGGATCACGCGGTAGGTGGGATTCTTAGGAGGGCCGTTTAACACATTTAAGCACCTCCAGTGTGCCTAGCCAACTCCAAGGGGACGCTCACTTACCGGTTTGGAGATATTGGTTTTGGAGTCGACGTTGTACCTGGAAAGAGAGTGGAGCTTGCTGGGTTTAGGGTGGGAGTCGGGCTGGGTAGGAGAGGCTAGAAAGGGGTAGGGCTCTGAGTCCAGGTTAAAATTGTGGATGGAGTGAGGGAAGGCCACAGTCCGGAACTTCAACCTAAATCTCATTTGGGGAAGGGGGCAGGATCGGAGAGAGTGTGGATTCAGGCAAAGGCCCAGTCAGAAGCAGTGCTGGGGGTGGGGCAATATCGGGGAAGGGGCCATATGCAGACGGAGGTCAAGTTAAATTAGGGAGCTGATTTGTGGACAAAGCCAGGGCTAGGGAGTGAACAGGCTAGGGAGTGACCTGATCTAAGGTTTGGGGGCAAGGATAAAACAAGTGGAACCATTCTGAGTTGAACAGAGCTGGGTCTGGGGAAGGAGACGGGATCGAGGCGAGGCAGGGGCGGGGCCCAGGCAAAATTCCGGGAGGATCCAGGTCAGGGGCCGGGCCAAGCCAGTGTTCTGGGCGGAGCCTCACGCGTCGAAGCGTAGGTTTTGCTTCTCTTCAAAGAAATAGTCGAGGACGAATTTGCGCACGAAGTCTGGGTTCAGTGTGTTGTCGATCACCTCTGTCCGTCCGAACTGGGCGGGGAGGTGGAGGGTCAGCAATGGGCCTGCAGGGAGCAGGTGGTTCCGGGGGCGGTCCTGGGCTGGGCAGGGACTCGGACTCACCTCCCGCCACTCCTGGCTGGCTCGGCTCTGCGTGTAAAGCACCACCACTGCGGCGGGGTTGGGAAGGACGTTAGGTCGCCTCGCACCCCTTTCTTGTTCCCCCGCCCCTCAGCCGCGCCGGGACCCCAAGTTCCCCCTCCCGGTTCTGGGGCCGCCTACTCGGGTCGGACTTGGAGAAGGTGTCGAGGTCCAGCAGGTTCCTAGAAAAAGCGAGACAGACGGATACAGACAGGGTGGGTTACTCTTGAGTCGGGCGGAAGTATGGGGCTCAAGTCATGCCATCCCATCGCTGTATTCCTCTCCCACACCTCCACCCCTTGTCGCTGCCCTTCGCCGGGGGTCTACGCTGTCAGAGCCCAGACCAGCGCTGGGAATTTCAGCCCAGAACCAGGTCTTCGTGTCTCTGCGGACGGGATACGTCCGTGCTCACACTGTCTGCAAGGGCCCATGAAAGCGGGGTCTCCCCAGAACTTTGTCTTCCCAGGCCCAGCTCTTCTAGAATCCCCACGGCCCACCCCTTGAGTCCTCAGGCTCAACCCTCTTTTTCGGGGTGGGGTTTGTCCAAGGAGCCTCCTTCCGCGACCCTGCCAACGGTTGCTGAGTCCTCGGTCGTGATTTTTCTGGTCTCAGATGCCTCCTCCCGGGCTGCAGCCCAGGTCTGTGCCGAGCCCCGGAGCCGACTGGGGCCGGGCAGTGCCTAAACCCTCCCCGGCGCGGCCCGCTCACCGACAGGAGACGGTAATTTCAATTTTGGTGGCCGGGACGCTGCGCTCGGAGATTCCGCTGAGAGACATGGCTGGTCCCGGGGCTGCAAGAGTGGGGCCGCCGGGCTAGGGGCAGCGGCTGCGGGGCTGGCCCATGTGCCGCGGCGGTAGCGGCGACTGAGCTCCCTCCAGCCCTGCGTGCGTTCCCGCCGCTCAGGCCAAGTGTGGCCACCAGCAGCATTGGCTCCAGATGGCAGCATAGCCCCGCCCGGCCCTGCGGGCGGCCCCCGCCCCATTGGAGCCGCATCCAGCAGATCGGGAACCTTACCTAGACCCCACCCCCCCACCCCAGTCCACACTTGGGAGAGTCCGTCCCTCACAACTCTCCTGGGTGAAGCCCTAAGCACTAGAACTGTCCGCTGTGCTGAAGCATTTAGTGAGCCTTTGTGTAGGGGTCGCCTTTCCCTGAGTTGTCCCCTCAACAGTCTCCTCCCACCAGCTTAGGTCTTTGATTAGGAAGTTACATCTGTTTTTATTAGCTGTGTGACCTTGGCAAGTTATTCAACATCTCTGTAGCTCTGTCTCCTCTTTGTAAAAAGATCTTTACTGCTGTGTAAAATTATGAGAGTCCATGGAAAAAGCTCGGCACAGGCGATGTTTGTTGTTTTCAAGTCAGTTTGGACTCATGGTGGGCGGTGACCCCATGTGTTCCAGAGAACTGTGTTCCACAGGGTTTCCTTGGCCTCAATCTTTACAGAAGCAGTTAGCCACGTCTTTTGTTGTTATTGGTTAAGTATCGTGGAACCAATCTGACTGAGTGACCCTGCACAGGGTTTCCGAGGCTGTAAATCTTTACCGGAGCAGAAAGTGTTATCTTTCTCCTGTGGAACCACTGGCAGTTTCGAACTGCTGGCCTTGAGGTTGGCAGCCCGACTCTTTAATCACTATGCTACCAAAGCTCCTTAGCCAGGTCTTTTGATTAGTTATGTGCCATGGAGTGGATTCCGGTTCATAGTGACCCTGTACAGGGTACAGGGTTTCTGAGGCTGTAAATATGAGTAGAAAGCCTCATCTTTCTCGGGCGGAACAGCTGGTAGTTTCAAAATGCTAACCTTGAGGTTCGCAGCCCAATTCATAACCACTAGAACTTTTAGTGAATGGTAAATGCTCTATGTGGCGCTGTGGGTAAATGCGCCAGACTGCAAAGCCGTTTGAACTGCAAGGTCCACAGTTCAAGCTCATCAGCTGCTCCTCGGAAACCCTATACAGGGTCGCTATGGGTCAGAATCAACTCAACAGCACTTAAAAAATGCTTAATAAACATTCACTGGTGTGATTTGTGTCTTCTGGTCATTCATACTGACAGCTTCTCTTGTGACAAGAACTCAGTATATAGTGGCTGTTATACTCATCTAGCACTGTTGTGTTTAGAACCTTCAAGATTTCAAGCTGTTTGATGCCGATGCACTATGATGTCACACTATGTGTACACACATTCTCCAAGAGCTGTTGCCAAAGCCTAGAAACCTGTCCCTCCCCCATAGGCAGGGCTCTGCAGGCCACCTGGTCCTGGACTGTGCTGTCTGCAGAACTTGTTAAGAATGAAGACCCCACTTGCCAAAGATTCCAGAATTCTCAAGCAGCCCTGGGCTTCTGCACAGGTAACAGGTTCCCAAAAGCCTGGGATACCTCAGACCTGGGGTCTGTTCCCTCTCAGCCTTGTGAGGACATGCCCCCAACTCACTGAGGGTGCAATTGTGGCACCGCAGTTAAAAGGCACACTTAAAATCTCCCTGCTTCATCTCTTCTTCCCAGTCCAAGGAGGACATGGAAAGTCTCCCACATGACTGCATACAGAAACCAAATGAGGCAAGAGAGTAGCCATTCAAAAAGACATTTTATTGTGATTTGTGTCAAACCATCTCATTCTCAGTGCAGGTGACCCTTCCTCCTCACGAAACAAGAATGATGTTGAGTGGGGGTGTCTTCTGTAGTCACGGTCTCCAGGGAAACCCCACAGAGTTAATTCTGAATTGATGGGAACTCTAGCCAAAGTTGGGGTGGATGAGTGGCCACCACCAGTCAGGAGCCCTGCTCTGGCTTTGGGGCTGCCATGTTGATGGTGATAGGAGAAGGGCATGAGGAGGCTTCCCTCTGTTCAGTCTCCCCTGGCTGGGCATGGCTTTGATTCTGCTCAGTGCTCAGCTGGGATGGGAGCAGAAAATTGTGGGCTGGCTAGTTCACAAGGTGCTGCTGCTGGTGCCCCGAAGTCCGACACCACGAGCGAACTGTTCCAGCAGGCCCCCGATGGCACCGGAGGGACTGGGGGCAGCAGCCCGAAGCCCCACTGTGCTGCTATAAGCAGCCAAGAAGGCTGACCGCACTTCCTGCAGCCGGGTCTCCCGATCACTCAGAGTGGCCAGCCTGGGGGGAGGGAGGGAGGGAGAGACGAATCTGTTATTCTGGACAGGACCAAGCACTCTCCTCATGCCACACTGGCTCTCTCCTGGCCTGCACAAGGTCCTGTGGCCGTCCTACCCTTGCAGTCCAGGCCCCAGATATGTGCCTGGCACCACACTCCTCTCAGCTGATTCCACTTAGCAGCAGCCAACTTAATTGGGTACAGAGCGGACTGTTGAGAATGACTGGGAAGGTAATGATTGGGGGGAGGGGAAGGATGAGCAAGAGCCTGCCCACAGCTGTCCACCTCTCCTCAGTGAGAACAAGCTGAGGCTACAAGTCTCACTCTAACAGCAAAGAGGGGGCCGCTTTAACAGCCAGGGACCCCAAGATCAGGGATTAAGCATGGAGAATGTAAGACCTCAACCTTCGTGGGTCTGACACTTGGAACCCCATGGGAGGAAGTGCTTGGCAATGTTCTGGGAGAACCTACAGGTCAGGCTCTGCGCCCCTGGAAACTCCTGCAGCTCTAGCTGTGCCTCAGCCACTGTGGTTCCCAGTGAAAAGGGGTGGTGGTGAAATGGGGGGGAGGGTCAGCTTTCCATCAGGATGCCTGTTGTTAGTGTATCCATCCCCACCTGTGGCCTCCACAGGCACCAGAAAGCCCCTCTTCTCTCCTTGGCCTGGAACTACAAAGTCAAGAGGAAGAACAACAAGCACATGCATACTCAAGTCTCAAAGCATGGGGCAGACAGGTAGTCTGTTAATACTCACACGGTGGCTCCTGTCTCCTGGAGGGCTTTCTCCAGGGGCAACAAACTATAGGGGATAATTCCTTGTGTCCCAACTACCCCAGGTACTAAGATAACCCTGAACAGCATACACTGTCCCCCAAGAAACCAATCCTTCCCTAGGTATTTTTCTACCCAATTCCCAAGCCACAAATGACCTGCCATCCTAGAGCGTGATGCAAAATGGAAACCTAGGGTGGTAAGTGTGGAGGACAGACCCGGCCTCAGATGAGGCTCACAGGACCGTGGAGAAGTGGATTTTGGGGTGATGTGTGTATGGTGTGTGCGTGCGTGCGTGTGCGCGCACGTGCATGAGAACAGCAGCAGCAGGTTCTGGGGCAAAGGAAAGCCAAATCAGCTCTGGGAGCAGAACTAAGAAAACAGAGCTGATACAGATTTCTGCAACATCATGAATCACCCTAAAATCTCTTCTGGAGTCTGTGTGGATGCACGGCCCTAGATTTCTTTTCTAATTAGGTTTCACATAGGCCAGAGGCCACGTGTGCTTCCTCAGCTTCCCCTTACAACATACAAGGGAAGAAAGTGAAATGAACATATTTCGCATTCACAGGGGGAGCATCCTCTTCATTGTCCATTTTCTAAAGAGACCTCCCCTGTTTAGACACAAGAAAGCCAGAGTCCAGAGAAGATGTGTGATCCAATTGAGGACCCAGAGACTCAAGAGTGGGCAATGGGCAGACAAGGATTAGACTACTATAAATGACATATCCTCCCAAGAGATGAGCAAACAGGCTCAGAGAAGTCAAGGTTGATGCTCCAAGACACAGCGGGTGAACAAAAGAGCTGGGATGTAGATCAAGTCTGATAACAAAGCTCTGATAATGTGCGATCTGTCCAGGACTTGACCCCATCCTCACCCTCCTGTAGAAACCATCCAGAAGCAAGAGGTGGGTTAACAGCCAGAGAGCAGCTCTTGTATGGTAGGTTCAGGACCCAGCAGCCTCTCTCAGTGGCTAACGCTCCTGAGCAGGGGTGGAGAAGCTGGTTCCTCCCCTAGAGTTGGCTCTTAAGGCAGTTTCACTGTCGGGAAGTCTCTAACAAAGGTGTAGATAACTACTTTTTTTTTTTTTTTTAACATTCTAAAAATTGGAGAGACATCTCATTACTGGCTGAGGGGGTGTGGCTGCTGAGGAGAAGGATGTGCTGGGCACTAGTGGCCACTCCCCTACGTTCAGAAATCGTAATATCTGGCTCTCAGTAGGCAACAGGGACCTTTTCTTCCCAACTCCTCACCCTCTGGTGGGCATGAACTGTATTCTGATGGCAGAGAGATGAGCCCATAGCATCTGAAGTCCCCCCGCCCATGGTGTGGAGGAAATGGAAAGCTTGCTGAGGTGCCCTCCGGCAGCCACCTCTGAGGAGCAGGCACTGCTCCCCAGGCCGCCGGAGCCTCCCCCTGGCTGACATCCATGGGGGGGCAGAGCAGGCAGGGAGCAGGTGGCTTCCACAGAGGTGGCCACACAGGTGGATGTGCTGTGCAAGTTGAAAGCTTGGAGCTAGAGGGTTTTGGGCTTGAGATCTATATGTCTACCCAACTCTTTCCTGCCCAGAGAGGATGGAAAGGGACAGTGGTCCTGCTCAGAAGAACCTAGCTCCTTTCTGGCACTGGCCTCCACTGGATACATACCTTGAACTACCACCCCCACTGTTCTGTTTTCAAAAGATCCTCATGTCAAGTAAGGCTTTGGACAGAAATAGAATCTTTTATAGTTACGCGCCAGCCAGCTCTCCTTTAGGGAACACCCCCAGACACCCATGGATGGGTTTGAGACTGGGGTGAATGAACACATCCTGAGCCACCCATGAGGCCTCCTGCACACCCCAGGGGGGCCCAGTAGCAGTGCGGCTTACTAAACCCAAGCTGTCAGGAGGTGCTGGCACCCCAGGCCAGCGTCCTGTGGCCAGCCTCTGCCTCATTCCTAACCAGCACTCCTGACTGCCTATTTTCGTTGAGAATACACACAGCAGAACATCCACCAGGTCAACCATTTTATGTACAATTCAGTGAGTTGCACAACCATTCTCACCCTCAACTTCCGAGTTTTCCCTCTGCCATTAACGCAAACTCACTGCCCCTGAATTTCCTATGTAATATTTGCTGTTGGAAATGTGATGCCACTGTAGATAGATCTTAAAAAGAGCACAACGCTCAAGGCAAACATTCTTTACTGGCTGAGCTAAAGTGCCATTTGGTTTTAGGACTTCAGGGGATGTTTCTGGCTTAAGGTATAAAGATGATCTCAGAGCAGTAGTTTCAGGGGTTCATCCTGCTCACCAGATTTTTATATGGGCAGGGAAGCATCCTGCCTTCTCAAGCAAGACACTTACAGACAACTGTTAGGGAGCTCATCCGGGAAGCTGAAAGGGAGAGAGGAGTCTGTGTGCAGGACAGCCCGTTCCTGAATACTGCCACAGCCTGTTACCATCTGCCAGCTGCCAAAGTCTGTGGAGAGAGAGGATCCGGGCAGGGGATGGTCCACTGATCTGGGGCAGAGAGGAGAGAGACGAGACGATGTACAGTCAGTCACATGCCTGACAGGGATCCCTGGGAGGGACAGGAGGCTAGAGCAGTCCTGGCCATGGCCACAAAGTTCTGTTGGTGGAGCATCTGCAAAGTCAACCACTGTCTCCCAAGTGCCAAAAAAGCTGGACAGGTTGTGCCCAAGAAGAACAGACCATAAGGCAGGTTCAATTGAGAGGACAATGCATCATGCAAAGACTTCTGGGAGCAAAAGAGCAAGAAAAGCAAGAGCAAAGCTTGGTGACAAGAAGTGATCCAGCAACCAAAGCCTGGGGTCAGATCAGCAAGTTCGATGGCCGACAGCACCAAAAGGAAGGGAGGTGAGACCAGAACCAGGGAGGCAAAAGCACCTCACACCCTTGGCATGCAGATCTGCAGGGTGGGCAGTGCAGAACCCAGTGCCCACAAGGACTGGAAGGTGGTGACCTAGATTGAAGAGTAGGGTGAAGGGAGCCCCAAGGCCACCCTCACATCCTCTGCAGATGCCCTTCCCAGAGCCATAGTTTGTATTCAAAAGGAATAACCCAGCAAATTCTCTGGGCTATGCCCAGAGGGAAGGGATGAATCAGGCAGCCAACTTGACAGCTTCCTCCGACCTTTTCAGATGGAGGTTTGGGTGGGTGAGGGTGAAGGGGGGTATGGAGAGAAAATGAGGAGAAGAGTTGTGCTGGGAATCCACCATTGCCACCTCCTCCCCACTCCTCACCAATCCCTCCTCCCGAGCCTTTTCTATCTCTGGGCAGTAGCCCAGCCCATGGAGGGTGGGGAGACAGCAATCAAGGCCCTTTGGTACCCTAATCTCCAAGGTACATATACTCTTTGATGTGTCAGCCTTTATGAATGGCAGATGGTACTTGTGTAGGGACCCAGAAACAGACAACCTGAACAGCGATGATGGACGGGCAGAGGAAACGATTCAATGACCTTGGCTCACCCAGCTGGCTGGGGTCAAGGGCTTCTAGTCTGAGGTGATAGCTCTACTGAGTCACCAAGTCAGCCTTAGCTCAAGCAGCCGCCCAGAGTACAACTCTAGCAGTCTCTCCCTAACCAGCTCCACCTTAGTGAGGAAAACAGCAGCCCAGAGAGAGGAAGACACATGTCTGCGGTTCCAGAGCCAGTCCTTATACTGCCAGTGAGAGCAAGGACAGACTTTCCAACCCAAGTCAGACTGACCCAATATTGCATATTTGCCCCAATACAAACCACCTGGAGACCAGGGAAACAGATGGGTTTCCACGGTAAATCTGCAAGGTGTTGGCAGCCCTGCACCACACACTTGCCGCATTTATCAGCTGTGCTCAACTCTGGAAGGTGGCTGCGACAGGACTTACTTTTCAGACAGGAAGGCGGCAGGGCTCAAGCAGTCTAATCATACACAGCTTGCCAGGTGTGGGCAGGCAGGTCCCAGGCCATAGTCTGAGGCATGCCCTGCCCTTCTTCAGTCCACTCACCCTTTCTCTGAGCGGTAGCCTGGCACAACAAAGCCCTCCTGTTCAAGCTTGAGGACATACTTTTCTAGTTCTAGCAGTTTGTAGGAAAACAATTGCTGAGAACCAGAGTGCTGAGAAAATGGACAGTGTGCTGACCAAAAGCCCTTCTTGGGCCAGGAATAAGGGGAAGTTTCTATGTCCTAATGCCACTCTGATGGGAAAGAGGTGGACAAATGAATGTGGTTACCAACAAGTTCCCCAGATGAGCCACTCTATTTCCTCCAGTACCCATCAGGCACCATCAACAGACAAGAACTGGGTTGGAAGCAGCCAAGGGATAGTGGTCCTGAGACCCGAGCAGGCAGCACAAAAAGTAGTAGGGTACTCATTCCCAAGGGGAGGTTAGGGCCGTCTCTCAGGGTGCGCAGCCATCTCTGCAAAGCCCTGCAGGTTTCCAGATCAAGCAAATGGGTTCCAAGTAAACCCTCCTACTTGTGGCTTTTGTCACAGAAACGGTTGCAAAGTGCAACCCTGTTCCCTGCTCTGCTCCTGGGTTCGAGAGTGGAGGTTGTGTTGAGAGATGTGCCAGTCTGGATTAGCTGGCTGGAGGGGGCACCTACAAGAGAGGCAGCCGTCACCACGATGAACCTACACCTGTGTACTAACAAAGTGGAGGAAAACATGCAAATCTGCCAGAAGACACAGGGAGCGCACCACTCGCCTTGAATCAATGGCAAATTCTCCTCTGCATGCTCATGCAAGTGTAAACACAGCCACCTCTGCTCGTCTACTGTATGTGAAGCTCGGAAGAACCGTGACCAATCCGCTAACTAGAGAACAGATAGGCCTTAGTCCAGACTGCAGGGCCAACAGCATTCCAGACGTTAGCTAGTTGTCCAAATCTCCGGGCCCTCTGAGGGGTGTCTCCACAACATGTAGGTCCCTTCACAGCTTTCAGAGTAACAACTCCCAACTCTCCTTCCTGCCTCCAGGCCAACCTGGACAGGGCAAGCTGGACGGGATGCAAGACTAGTCCTACAAGCAGAGCTGGAGTCTGGGGTGAGACCTCCTCCTTTACCTGGCTACCCAGTGCTAGGCATAACCCACAGGACCTCTGATATGTGACTGGTGAGGACAGGTCTGGAGCCACAGCTACGGTTTACTAAATACATGTGGAAAAGGTGAATGTTCACTGTGTGCCAGGACTTTGCTCCATTATCTTAGGGCATCCAGGATCATTACTCCCCCTTTAAGGATAGAAGCTCAGAGATGGAAAGTGACTTAGTTACACAGCTAGTAGCGGTCAAAGCTGGGATTCAAGCCCTGGTAACCTCAAAAGTGGTGGTGGGGGCCCCTCATGGCACATCACCTTCAATTTGGATTGGAAAACAGAGGGCCCCATGTGTCTCCTGCATGTGGGGAAGGGTGCAGTGGCTGCTGCTAACCAATTTCCTATCAGAGATACAGGCCAGAGAACAAAGTTGATGTGGCGCGGTAGAAGCAGCACTGGACCACAAAGTCGGTTTGGCCTGCAAGACAGCAGTTCGAACTCACTAGCTATTCTTCAGAAACCCTACAAGGCGGTCACTAAGACTCGATGGCACTTAATAGGGAAGCTGGTCAGAAAAGAAAGTTGATCTGTAGAGAGACACAGGGAAATGGAACTGGAGCCTTGGTCAGTCTGTGCCTAAAGGCCAGCCACTTTGTCACCAGACTTCTGTTAGAACCACCAGTTCTCCTTTGTCTAAATCTGTCACTTCCATCTGAAAGCATCTACAGTGACACAGAAGGCTTAAAGGTGTACAGCTGAGAAGGACCTAGGGACTCAGTCTAACCCGATTACACACAGGAGAAAATAGATGCCTAGAGACATCAAGTCACTTGTCTGAGGTTTTCAAGCCGACACCTCGAATCTTAGATGATAAGAGGTGAGATGTCACCTAATGTGAACAAACCCCCTCAGCCCCCAGCTGGCACCCAACATCTCCCTCTGATGTTGCCAGATGCTCTTAGAGTCTCTGTCCAAGTGAATGCCTCCAGCAACTAGGCCCTAGGGACGTCTTTCACCTCAACAAAGGTCTGAACGCACAGAGCAACTGATTTCCCAAATAGTTAGGAACATGATTTCATAACACATTTCAGCTCAACTCTGGAAGGTGTCTGTGGCAGGACTGATTTTTTATACAGGAAAGGGGCAGGGCTCAGGCAGCCTGGTCTTTAACCATCTGTTAGGAGTGGAAGGGCTAGGGTGCAAATGAGGGAGAAGAGTCACTGAACCCGTGGGTTTTCTGTGGCAGGCTGAGAAGTATAATGGGGCCCGCCCTTAGTTTTCTCTTGCGTCTTGAGCTGGCATTGCCTTTAAACGTCTCACGGCTCATTCCTGGTGTGGAGCAGTGCCCCACGCAAGGACACATCAAATGAGAATGGGACAGCAGTGGCACTTGTTGCAGAAAGCAGTTGGCAGGGCAAAGGCTGCCTCATTAAAGGCAGCTGGAGACAGAGCTCACTTCTGGGGGAGGTTAGCTGGTGATGATGGTGGACGGGGAAGGAACAGTTAACTGGGCATCAGAGGGTGTTCCTCTGTTACCACTTAGGTATTCAGCTAGGCTGCAGGGTTGTCCCTCAGCCACAAGTTCACCTATTCTTTACGTTCCTTGAATTCATAGAGTGCTCAGCAGTGGCACCATCTCTCCTTGGGCACAGACAATATTGTGCTAATAGTCCCTACCCCAGTGGACACCTGACCCCAGAGCAGGGACTGAGGCCACATACCCAGTGCTTGTGGAGGCAGGTCAGCTCTGTGACTGATGAGATTTAACAATGGTTCAAAGTGCAACTCCATCGGAAGCTACTGCCATGGCAGCTAATAATGCATAAAACCACCAGTCTTTCCAAAGGGAGAGGCTGGAAGCTGGGGCTGGATAATCATCAGCGTCCTACAGAACTTTCTTCCTAACCCAGCCACACCTACTAATGAGAATGGAACTTCACCCGTTCTTTCCACAGGTATGAGGCCTGCTTTGAAGAGAGGGTTCACATGATGAGAATTTTAGCCTCAGTGAAGGGTTCTTTCCACACTTCCTCCTGCTGTGTGGAGGAGCTGATTGGTTACCATTACTCAAGAGGCAAGGAAGCTAATGACAGAGGGACAGGATCCCTCAGGCACTTACAGATAAAAGAAAAGAAATGAATTTGAATGTTAATGGAAATACATAATTAGAGTGCTCCAAATCTCAATAGACATTCAAAACCTATGGCTTTCAAACTGGCATCCAAACCAGCACCTTGTCAGCCCAGCCTGACTCCAAAGGGTCATTCCTAGAAGAAAGGAGCTGAAGAGCTCAGCTCTCAGAAGCCCATGTAAAGCCCGCAGAGCCAGGCCCACTTTGGTCCAGTTATCCTTAGCTTGGCCAGGCTTCATTTAGCACACAGGCAGTAAGGCCAGAGGGCACTTCCAACCCTCCTCAGTCCCTCAGATGAGGGGGCGGGGGGTCATCCTGAACTGGCCTAAAATGTCTGAGCCACCACGCAGGCAGAGACACCAATGAGGCCAATGGCAGTTAAGTAAGGGCAGCCTTCTATCTCCTTCCCCAAAACTATCACAAGACTGGAAGGTACAATTCTTTCGGCAGAAGAAAGGGATGATAAAAAGCTAGGGGCCTGAGGAGAGGTGGCATGGCACTGTCTTGAGTTGGGAACCCCCAGCAGTTTGGACAGTTCAAACTGGGGCAGGACCCAGAAGACAAGGGGAAGCTTTTGTTTTTTAACCCCAACTGTCCAGCCTGCTCTTCAAAGAGGGAAGGAGGCAGGGACGATAAGCAGGAGCTAGCCCAGAAAGATGTTCCACGGCACTGCAGCAGGTACAAGGGTAGTGGGCACAAGAGTGGTAGCAGCCTCCCCCCATGTCAGCCCTATACAGAGGATAGAAAAGAGCACAGACCATGTGGGTTTGTCTGCCTGGCACCATGCCTCTGCGTAGCCACATGTACCAGACCTTGCGTGGGGCTAGAGGATCCGTGTCTCATTCAGCAGACATGATCCACTGCAGCAGACACTGCTGCCTCCTGTGGCTGGTGCAGTGAGGAGCCCCTTTGTCTCCAAGCACACCCGCTCGGCCACACAGAGAAAAAGCAGAGGATGGTGACTGAGGTCTTTCCTTAACCGACTAATAAGACTACTACCACAGAGGAGAACTGAGCCCCAAAGTCACATGGAAGATCTAGGCTTGAACCCGGGATGGACTCTACAGCTCTCTCTGCTAACTACCCCTCTCTCCTTGAAATTTATAAAACATCACTTATGTCCCATATTACTTGCTCTCCCCTTCTGGAGAGACACCCTCAAGACTTTAGAAAATAAAATTTACAGGATTCTTCCCCAGGGAGTGTAAATGGCAAAACTACAATCAGGGTATGCTTTCTCTAAAGGCAAAGCCTCTAGCCTACTGCTCAGCTTTCATCCCATCCAGGAAACACAATTCCTGCAAGCAAACGGAGCTGAAGGTCCCATGTCCAACCAGCTGATCTCCCAGGGTTTTCCTAGTCACATACATCTAGCTAGCTCTCCTCACCAACTCAGACAGGCAATGTGAGATCCATCCTCTTCAATCAGCATGTGACATCCAGAGAGGGCAAAGGCCTGCCAAAGGCAACAGGCAGAGGCTGGCTCCAGCCCATCACATCACACCACTGCATCGTGTGGACTCCCCATCTGCCAGGCCGCAAAGAGGAGGAGCCTCAGACTAATCTAAGAACTAGCTCTCGCTCTGTGCCAAAACACTACACCCTTCTCCCTGCAAAAGCCTGCTGCCAAGTTGAGTTCCACTGGCCTCCTGGGTACCACTGTCCCCCAAGCTGCCCATCAAGGCATCCAGTTCCTAACATACCAGCAAAGGCAGCTCAGGCACTGAGCAGTTGCCTCCAGCCTCCTCAGGAGAGGAGGCTTAACCACCACACCAGCAGCAGGGTGGGTGCTGGAGCTCCTCACCTGGGTTTAGGGACCTCCAGGGGACTGCTACCCAGCCTGAAAAAGTCAGAATGGTTTGAGGATGAGGAGCTTGAAGACTTGGCCTCGCCCAGTCCCGGATGGGCAGGTAGACGGTCTTCCAAGGGTTGTGGCCGGCTGCAGAGCACACTCTGTGGCGACGATGAGTGACTCTTCCTCCTGCAGTGGGAGAGGGGGCAGTCAGCCTTTAAGTGCCTGTGAGGCCCCCACTTTCCCTCCCTTCCACTGAAGGAGCCACTAAGCACTGCCCAGGCCCCGGGCTCAGGACCACAGCATAAGGACAGGGTCTACATGGTGACACTGGCCTGCTGGCCTCAGAGTCCATGTGAGAAAAGGGATGCTTCACTTATGGTTCAGAAACCTCTCCCCTCCGAGATGCAACAAAAGCTTGGGCCTACTGGTCCAGAGAGAAATTCCCTAGTTCTCATCAGATTCTCGAACAAGTTCCCGAGTCCCAGTCAACACACTGCCTTCACCCTTGGCATTTCCCTTTTTTCTAAACGGAGGCCCTAACTCACAAGAGCTGACACATAGGAGCCACCCCAGGAGTTCCTGTAACACCAACCTCCACCTCCTCCCTTTTCAGCCCTGCAAATTCTTGGCCACAAGTCCTTTTAGACTTCCACACCGGCATGGATAGTGCCCCTCCCCAACCAGATGGCTGGCCTCAGAAACCCCATGGAGACAGCAGGGGCACGGAACTGTATTCTGGACCTGCTGTTGGGGGCCCTTTATTCCCAGGACTTCTGCCCTACTCTCCGGAGCTGGGGCCTTGGCCACAGCTGTGAGCAGGCCTGGCTCCTCACCAAGTGGCCTGAGTCTGTACTCCTGCAGGGACCAGCTCCACGGCCTCATAGGTGAAGCTCCCAACTGCTCCTGGAGAGCTCTCCATGACCAGGGAGAAGTCGCTGCCAAGGCTGGTGGTGCTGCCACGGTCCCTCCGCCCTGAAAGAAGCCAGTGCCTCAGTTAACACACTGGTGCCCACCTCTTCCACACCATACAGCTGGAGAGAGGAGCTTCTAGAAGGCACAGTTCCTGCATGGTCAATACTCTGAAAGATGTGCAGAGGAAAGGAACCTGCTGGGGTACGGGACTCACTCAGCATGCAGATATCTTCCAAGGTGAGTCCTGCATCCCGGGCTGGCAAACTCTTCCTCCTGTAAGCATACACCCAAAACAGTGAATTCCAGATCTACCGGGATTCTCCTTTGTTCTGCTTTGCCCCCTGCAACTCCCAACTAGAGAAGAGGCTACAAACGGATGATGGCTCATGGAGATAATCCCACCTAGAAGGCTAAGAAATGCTAGGCCCACTTCTGGGGTCTGCTGCCTGGTTCTTATCGATGTATTGTGCAGACTTTTGAGGTCAGCTAGGCATGGCGCCCCCATCAGCTTGGCCCTGAGAACACATGTCTGGGAATGTGTGTTTGACTGTCAGGGGATCAGGAAACACAACTCCCGGAGATTGCCCTATGGCAGCTTCCAGCCAAAACCCAATTCCCTATACTGGAAGCACTTCTGGCCCCTAATGGTGCAGACATGCCTTCTGCAGGGGCCAGAAGGAAGTGACAGAGAGCAGGGAGTTGGACTCTTACTGTTCTTGGGCAGGCTTTTTGCAGCAGCACCTGTTCTTCTAGTAACCAGAGACCACTTGTCTGACCCCTAAGCCTTGAGCCAGTGTGACTACAGGCTGACCCTGGTGTTCAGGCAACAGTCAGTGAGGTAAATGCCAGCCTGGTGGGCAGTAGTGAACTGGGAGAGCACAAATGATAGCAAGGCCAGCCCAGCGTGAGAGCAGGCCTCCTTACCTGTGTGTTTTCAGAGCACAGAACTCCTCGGAGGTGATATGCTTCAAAAAATTGAAGCAGAAGAAGAATATCTGAAAGACACCAAAAAGCAGGAAGCACTGAGAGCGTGGCCTTCTCCAGGCGAAGACTCGCAGCAGGATTCCCAGGGAGTGTGGAGCAGGGACAGCAGCCCTGCTTTGGGGACGCACACGCCTGGATATTCTGCTCTAGAAATGGTCTGGGAGTAGAGAGGATTCAGGGCCTGGCTGATGCACTTGGGCTGGCGTGGAGGAGAACAGGAAATACCTGGGACTGTAAGAGGGCAAGCATGAGATTTTTCAAACCCTACTTTCAAACTCAGTATTTCCCTTGCTGTGGGGGGCACAGGATCACGGAAACGCAGCTTCTCCCTCACTTCCCTTCTCAGAAGCCCAAGAAGAGAGACTAACAGGGAAGGGCAGTTGGGCAGTAGGGGTGAGGTGGGGTGGGGGGTATGGAATGACAGAGGAGGAAGGGATCCAATTGGGGGGCAGTCCAGAAATGTGGGTCAGAACAAGTTGGATGGAGACAGCCTGACCCAGAGGTTCCAGTGTGAAGGTTGAGGCGGTCCAGGAAGAAGAGTACGCCTGGCCTCTGGCTATAGACCCGCCTACATGAGCAAATCCCTCTGCTCCCCAGTACAGTGGCTCCCCAACCAGTGCACACAGAGGAGTTCCATCTCTGGCTGTTAGACAAACCCTAGGTGACTTTGATATGTGGGGTCCAAAAGCCCTTGTCTCAGAAACCCCTCCATGGTGTCCCATAGACCCCCAGAAAACTGCTCTACAACCAAACCACCTAGGTCAGATCAATGTCAAAATCAAAAGAGTGTGTTCATTACAGCTGGTTTCGTCTTTGATATGCTAATAAACTGAAACTCAGCTAGGAAGAGCAAAGTAGATAGGGTTCTCGAATTTGCAACCAAACTCTTAGTTTAGAAACACCTTTAAAGCATTTGTATATGAGGGCTGGTGGGAAGAAAGCAAGCCCCTACCACGAAGACCAACTATTCCAGCTTCACAGACCCTCTAGCTTAGGCAGAGGGTAGACCCAGACCAGCTTGGCAGGCTTCTACTCTCAGTTCAACCTTAGAAGGCAGCATCTGACCTTCTTTTGGGTGGAAGGTCATGGAGGGCAGAATGTTCTGAGTGCCAGCAAGTCTCTAATGAAAGGCTACAAAGGGGCCTTACACAGGATTTCAATGTCAAAGCAGCGGCTGCTAGCAGAGTTCCCAGCGGAGTGGGCTTATGGGCTCTGCAGCCCTGGCAATGCAGAAGTGCTTAAAAGAGATTTGGGAGGGAGAGAAGCAGCTGAATGGAGAACAAGGTAAGATGCTGAGAGGAAGGTAGCCTCAGGAGGACCGGATGAGGAAGAGGAAGACGCTGTAGAAAGGGGGAGTTGGGGTGCTTAGAAGTCCCATGCTGAGCCATCTGCACCCAATCTCTGAATGAGGTGGCATGTTCAATACCAGAAACCTCAGGCACAAGACCTTATGACTCAAGGTCACCAAGGTAAGCAAGATGTCAGAGATTCACACTCAGGTCTGACTCGGGGCCTGTGAGTAAAGAAAACCAGCACGCACACCAAAACAGTCAAAAGTAGCTCTGAGTAAAAAGGCGGGGGCATGGAGGGACTGTAGGACACACAAAGAGGACAAGAAGTGTTGGGAGGGAAACACAGTGCTTAGTCTGGGCTGGGCTCACCATGGAAGGTCCTGGGATTTAAATGCTGACAATGGTGTGATGGGAAGGAGAACACAGAGAAAAGCTTCTATGTGTTGGATGCAAGGATGTGGGATGCCAAAAAAAGACTTGAAAATTGGTTCCCAGGTTGAGTACAATAAAACAAGGTAGGAGCTCTGGTAGCGTAGTGGTTACGAATCGGGCTGTGAACCTTAAGGCCAGCAGTTCGAAACTACCAGCCGCTCCATGGGAAAAAGATGAGGTGTTCTGCTCCCGTAAAGATTTACAGCCTCGGAAACCCTGTACAGGGTCGCTATGGGTTGGAACCGACTTGACGGCACTTAACAACAACAACCTGTTGTTGCATGGCAGCAAAAAGGGGAGAGCTGACATGAAGGTCCCAGGTGGCTCTGTGCTATGAAGTGGGGGGGAAGGGGTGTCTACTGGAAGCTTAGGGGACAACCCTACTTAGTACAGCTCTTACCCAGCATGCACCTCTCTCTTGTCAGCAATAGAGCCCAAGGCCTGAATTATGCTCACAGGCCAGGAGCAGGACTTACCTCCTCTCCTTTGCTGAGCCGATCTACCAACATGTGTCTGGAAAAAAGAAGGGGTCAAAAAAAACAAGGTAAGATGCCAATAGAGCACAAGGGTCACAGGCACTAGAGTATCAGATGGGGCCTGATCAGCAGTGTCAGGCCTCCCAGGGGTATGGGCTTGGCCTCACCTCCAAACCCCAGTCGTGGAACCCCTGTACCCTCTCACATGTAGAGAGTGAGTCACCAGAACATGGGCTCCACGCTCTGCCCCGAGCCCAGTCCCCAAACTGCACTGCTCTCAGCTTACCCAAAGAGGAACCAGTCATAGGCCACTGTCAGGTAGAGAATCTCAGCAGGCTTCAGGGATGTGTGGATCAGCCCATCCTGGATACAACAGGGAAGAAAAAACAAGATCTGAAAGCTACCCCCGCCATGAGGTGAGCAAAAAGTTGCTCATCCCAGGTGCTCAATTAGAGCCAGTGTTAAGGCAGGGTCCTGCGAGAGTCAGGAGTGGTGACAGCTCACCCCAGGAAGAGGTTTAAGCAGAATACCTGCACTGAGTATTGGAGGTCCTTCAATCCCAATCTCTACTTTTTGGAGACAATCCTAGTGCTCCCAAGGTCTTGGTCGGGGTCACTGAATGTCCTGCCCCATCCCCAGCTCACCCATACTCACAGCCCATAAGGAAAGGCGCAGGAGAGAGATGAAGAGTGGGGTCCGGTCCCAGCCTGAGATACAGTGCACCAGCAGCCCGCTGTCGTCTGTGTGGACCATAGAACAGGGACCCTAAGAAGGGGCTGGCATGAGGGGGGTCAGTCCACCCTTAGTCTTGCTCTCCCTCAAGTAGTGGGCCTCCCTAAGGTTCTTCTCCAACCTAGTACCAAAAAGCTAATATATTTTTGTCCACAGCACCCCTTCTTTCTGCACCTCTGGCGAGTGGTTCAGCCCGGACAGTCCTTCTGCCCAAGTCACTTAGTGAGTTTCTCAAGGGGGTGCCACAGAAATCTGGGCATAGTTCTTCAACGTGCTGTCCCATCAATCTCAGGGTATATAGCTTCCCTGGTCAACATCCACAAGATGCTAGTAGTTCCACAACAGTTCCTGAGGACAGACGGTGAGCAAGACTGTCCCAAGGGGAAACACTGATTATTAGCTGAAGGGTAGGTGTGGTCTTTGTTATCTTGGCCATATGACTGGTTGCAGGATGGCAAGACTGGGACTGAGGCAATCTCTTTGGGGGAGTAGGAAATATGTCAGCAAACAGTGGGCATGAGAGATGAAGACTCCTTATGATACTCTCTAGGTCCCTGGTGTGACACTGTACAATAAGCACTCGACCACAAGTTTAGTGGTTCAAACTCACCAGCCGTTCCTTGGAAACCCTATACAGGGTCGCTATGCATGGGAACTGACTTGACGGCAATAACAGCAAGATCTGTCTTGGGACTTCTTGGTCACATTAGCCAATGAATTTCTATTTATTCAAGCAAGCTTAACTCCAAAGAAGCCCTAGTAGCACCTGATGCATCAAAGAGCCAGCCTGTTCGAGACACAAACTGCACACACAGGACAGGCTGGCAGAAACAGCCCAGGAGTCCTCTATGGACGTCATAAAGGCCACACCTCAGGCCTTGTCTATCTATAGTATGGCCTGTCCTGGCCCCTACACAAGGCTGATGCTCTAAGTGTGTGTGTAGTTAGATGTGGTGGTTATTGTTAAGTACCATCGAGTTGGTTCTGACTCAAAGACACTGACAAGTAGCTGTTGGGTTTGAACTAACCTTGTGGTTAGCAGTCCAGCGCTTAACCTACAATGCCACAGTAGGACTCTTATTAAATGACAACTTTTGTTTTCCAGGGTTTTGAGAAAACAAAATACAGTGGACAAATCCCACCCAAGCTGGGAGATTCTAAGAAATCCCCAAATCTCAAATTTGGTATGTGGCATCATACTAGTGGCAAGAAATAGGTTATGTGAGGTGTTTACGAACTTCAGCAACTGAAGATACAGTGGCTCAAACACTTTGGAAGAGACTCACCGTCACTGTTCACTATGGAAAGCAGCAGTTTCAGGTAGTTTTGTGTTTGTTGCACCAGGTCCCAACTCTATTAAGGAAAGACACCAAAGGGTCTAGGGTTAGATAGCTAACTCAGGTTGTGTATTTAAAGTACTTAGAAAATAAAATGCCATTGACTCTTCTAGCACAGAAATCCACACAGGGCATAGTTATGACCAGGTGTAGTTATCAACTCTCACATTCTCCAGCTCCGGTAGCTTTCTTTTTTTTTTTTTTTTTCCGGTAGCTTTCTTGAGCCTCTCCCCATGTCCCTCACTCAGTGAGCCCACATGAAGGCCAAGGAGTGGATGGGATAGGCAGCCCCCACTCACACCCCATAGCACCAGACAGCAGTAATGGCATGTGACATCCGCTGGGCCCAGAATCAGGAAAGGTGGAGAGAATTTTGAGCTTGCAACTAACATCTCAGAAAGACCAAATGGAAAGAGGAATTCTGCCCATTTCACCATGTCACAAAAACCAACTCAAATACCAACATTCTCATCCAAAACGTTTCACTTGCTTTGTTACTCTATTCACTGCATATTGTCTTTTGATGAATAATAAATGCTGCTAAAACACAAGACTCAAGAGCTGGGAGATGAAAACTAAGCAAAAGCTGTGAAGAGGTTGGAAATCTCTGCTCAAGCCTAAGCCAAAGGCACAGGCTAGCCTCTAAGCAGCACCCCACTCAGAATCTGGGATTCTGCGGAGGGCGTGACCCAGTTCTGCAGCCCCTTCTCTCTGGCTGAGCACAGCCTCTCCTCACAATTGCTCATCAGTGTGCTGTGCTGCACAGAGGGCAGCAACGCCGGCAGAGAGCCCTCCCTAGGAGGAGGGCAGCCACGGCACTTGTAATTGGAATGGTTTTCCCAGGAATTTAAAACCGGCTCATCTACCTGACCCTCCCACAGCCCCCAGAGAGTTCTGACCCACTTTTGACAGCTCCAGAGACGGCACTGCAGCGCGGAGCTAATAAAGTCATTACCCACAGCAGCACAAGGGGGTCTCTAAATGCATTTGGCTCAATGTGCCACACACAACATCACCAAGAGACTTCCTCTGAGCTGTGATTCTTAGGGTGAGGAGCAGAGGGAGGCAGGAGCTACGCAGAACAAAGCACAAGGTGGGGTGGGAGGGGGGGGGTGAGCTGCAGAGGGCCCACCACTGTGGTGATGAGTTAAAAGGCAACAAAGAGAGAAGCGGTAGATTCCCACTGCCCCCAGCTCTGGGGTAGGAAGCACAGGCTGTGAGGATGGGGCCTGACAGGGGTACAGGGTCACACAGCTGAGTGGAGATGGGACATGCACCAGCCCTGCCAGTCTCCTAAGTGCTCATACTTAGTCACAATGCTGCATTGAGGGACTGTCTCACAGTGGTCTGAGGGAGCTGCTAATCTAGAGGAAGGCCTAGGAGACGTACTCGTGAGAAAGGGCCAAGTGCCACACCTCTGCTTGTTGTTTCCAAGTCTGGAACACTCTTTTCCCTGGCTGACTACTCCTACTCATCCTTCAAAGGCCCAGCCTGATCATCTTCTCCACAGCTACCTTCTGTGGCCACTGATCAATACCACTATTACACACAACATGGTTAGCTGTTTTTCTCTTCTTCTTCGCTCTGTTTGCATCTCTGCATCTCCAAGGCACAGCACTCAGGGAGTAGATGGCCCGCCCTTGCAGAACATTCCCTGACAGGTCCTGTCATGGGCCAGCTGGGGCCATAAGGTGCAGCAGGAGTCAGTCTCTCTATGGAATTATACTACAGTCCCTGGAGGGCAGTCCTGCTGCTTCTGCCCTTGGGGACCGTGACTACCTCTCTCCTGAAGGCCTGGTCCCGAGGACTCATGGCAAATACAACATGAGACAGCACAAAGCAATGCATGTGTGCAGACTGAATAAGACCTCTACGCCACATAGGAGCACATAACTAGAGAACCTAACCTGAGTCATGGGACCATGAAGGAAAGCTTCTTGCAGGTGGTGACGTAAGAGGGAAAGAGGGGACAATGCCTCTGGCTGAGTGGACAGCACTTGTAAGGCTGGTGATGGTGAGCACATTGCCTTCAGGAATCCAAAAGGAAGCCAGGGTGGCTGGAAGAGGAGGGAGAAAAAAGGCAAGGCAGGTCTGCCTAGAGCTGGGCAGCCCTGTGAGCAGGAGAGAGAGGGAGAGAGGGGAAGAGGGGGAGAGGAGGAGAGGGGGAGAGAGAAAAAGAGAGAGAGTGTGTGTGTGTGTGTGTGTGTGTGTGTGTGTGTGAGACGATGGACGGAGCACAGGGACTCAGGCAGGGTAACAGTAGCTCTGATCTATCCCTGGACTCTGGACCCTGGAGTGCTTGCTGCCTGCCAGATCCTAGTGAGAACTACCTCAGAGTGGCCCCTAGTCAGGTCGAGATCACTGAGCTATAGGAGGGCTGTAGGTCAGATGGCTGCTCTGAGAGCTCTGCAAGGGCAGACACAGAATTGGCAGCACTTGTGAGATCACCTTAGGGGTGTGGGCATGTGGTGGTGGCTTGTCTTGCAGCGGGGGTAAGGGTAGGCTAGGGACAGGTGGAAGCTTGAAGGGACACTATGAGAGGAGCACACTGGAGGCCTGGCAGCTTGGCTAACAGATCAGTTCATCAGTGAGATCCCTTCGGGAGACAGTGAGGAGCAAGGAAAGTTCTGAGAACCAACACTAAAGGGGCAGAGTCCATCCCAAGCTTAGGTCAAAAATGGCAGGAGGCCCAGTGAGGTGACCAGGCTGACCAACATGGAGAGGACAGAGGCCTCGTGGAGGTAGGTCCTCTGGAAAAAGTCCACCTCCAATACCCTCGCCCTGCCATCCTACCTCTGTGTCAGGAATTTTATTAGAGTTCATTCCCTTGTGTTAGCAGGCAACCTACTTTTAATTATCCCCACACCACAACCACCAAGTGGCCTGTTCCCCTACCCTAGGGAGGCACCTGTGCAGGAGACTGACTCTCAGCCACAAGCTTGTTGAGCATCTGCTTTATGGAGACAGAAATACAAGGCACACACAGCCCCTTCCTTTCTGAACCTCCCTGCTACTAAGAAAGCACTGCACAAAGTGATAGAGGAGCACACGGTTCCTAACACAGGCCAGGACTCTGAGTTGGGGGTGGGAGCGAGGAGCGGGTATAGCCAGACTTGTAACACAACAGGGGAAAGGGATGCTTCTCTGGCTCAGTCTTTTAAGCTCTTCGCTCCATAACAGCTTCTGAGTTGGTCTATAAAGTCACAGTTTAGGGGAAAGTCAGTGGCAGAGGTGCTTAGGAGGTAAGCAGATATGTAGATGCTGTGGGCAGGGGAAGCAGATCAAGCACATCAGGCATCTGCTCAAGGGATGTCTTCCTTGAGCTAGAATTTAAAGGGCAGTGTGTCGGCCACACCCGAGGAGGCTGGGCAGTGGCAGCTAGGCAGGGGACAAGGCATGGGGTGGCGGGTAGGAAGAACAAGGCTCCTTCATTATGGCTGAAGCAAGTGGTGAATGAGACTGCTGGCAGCCTCTTGGCCTGAGTGGTTTCACATGGTAGAGCTGGATCGAGTCATGTCCCACCCAAAATGTGTGTTGGAATCCTACCCCCATACGTACAGATGGAGTCCTGCTGTGGTGCTGTGAGTTAATGTCTGGACTGCAAAGTTGCTTTGAACCACAAGGTCGGTGGTTCAAGTTCATGATCTGCTCCTTGGAAACCCTAAGCAGGGTCGCTATGGGTTGGAACTGACTTGATGGCACTTAACAACATATGTTGTCGTTGTTATGTGCTGTGGAGTCAGTTCTGACTCACAGAGCCCCTGTACAGGGTTTCCAAGGCTATAAATCTTTACGGGAGCAGAAAGCCTCATCTTTCTCCCACGGAACAGCTGGTAGTTTCGAACTGCTGACCTTGCGGTTCGCAGCCAGATTCGTAACCACTACGCTACCAGAGCTCCCTAAACAATGTATGGTGGTGGTTATGTGCCGTGGAGTCGGTTTCGACTCATAGCGACCCTGTACAGGGTTTCCGAGGCTGTAAATCTTTATGGGAGCAGAAAGTGTCATCTTTCTCCTGTGGAACAGCTGGTAGTTTCGAACTGCTAACCTTGCGGTTCGCAGCCAGATTCATAACCACTATGCTACTAGAGCTCCTTTAACATATAGGTGTAGTTAATCTAATCACTTTATAAGGCACCCTAACTTAATACAAAGTCAGGTGAGGTCATAACAGCAGCAGGTGTATCCTACAGGAAGAGCAGATTAGATGGATGTGTGTGCAGACAGGAAGACAGAGACCCTTCGATAAGGAGGGAGGCCCAGGAAGCCCAAGGACTGCTAGCAGCTACTAAAAACTGAAACACATAAAGGACCTGCTCCCTGTCCCACTACAGTCAGGCCCTGAATTCGGGATGTGCAGCTTCTTGAACCATGAGAAAATAAATTTCTGTTCTTTAAAACCACCCACATGTGGTTATTGTATTTCAGCAGCACTGGGAGACCGACAGCATAGGGACATCTAGAAAAGACAGTGAGCCCTTCCTAGTTGGTCAGTAACAGGAGAGAAGCACAATGGAAGTGCCTTTAAAGTTCCTACAATCAAATCAGGTCAGGCAGGCTCCACACTTTCTCTGGCAGAACACACATTTAAAAGAAAAAATGAAAAACAGTCACTTAAGCTCGGCTATGGAAGAACAGACTCCAAGAGGTCCTTTGGAAACAACCCCCTGGTGGATGCAAATCTTTGACATTCAGAAAGCTTTGATTATCTGGGCCAAGAGCAGATCTGGAGAGAGTCCAACAGATAAGCAGTCCCTCCTTTTCCTGGGTTGTGCTATGCAGGGAGCCAGAGGGGTCTGAGCGCAGAAACCAGTCATCAGGCAGTTGCTTGAGGGACTCCTTAGTCCCCTCTCTGTCTCTGCCCACCTCAATTCAGGTCCTCACCTGATACTGGCTCCAGTTAATGTTCAGAGAGTGGGTCAGGGAGTCGGGAATGCTCAACGGGGCATCGACGTAGTCCTGAGGACAGAAAGACACTGTGAAACACAGGCTGCTCACACGAGACGGCTGTGGTGATGGGGGCAGGTGGCGACTCCGTCACTTAGCTGTGACTGGGGCTATGAGAAACACAGACAGGAGACCCACCACAGCGCTTGCTTTCTCCAGGCCACACACCTGTGTTACTCTCAGGAGGAACAGTTAAAAGTGGCTAGATCACTGCAGCTGAATGGAGTTAGGCAAACATCTGAGTGTTTACTACAGAAATAAGACACAATTAACTTGGACTCCGCCCCCAGCGGGTTTTCCCATGGTCTGCTCCTCTTGCCTGGGGAGTCAGAATGACTCCTGGACTTTATAAATAGCTGCGAGGAAGAACTTTCTCTCTTGTTCCAGAAAAAGTCCTTTGGAGAAAGGAAGAGATTAAAAGGGAAAGAAGTATGATGAGAATTTAATTATGTACAAGGAAAAACGGGGGAGAAGAGAAATCATGAAACACATTCGAGAATGAAAAAAAGGTAGCTGTTTTCCCCAAAACGAGTCTTAGCTGTTTTTTACAAATACACTTTTAAGACCCAAGCTGATGAATATTATTGCTCATACCTGCTTCCAGTTAAAAATGAGACCTTCGGCCATGTAATCCCGATCCTTATATTCCTTGAAAAATTCACAGCCTGAAAAAGAAGGACAGAGTCATGACACTCTACATCCTAGCCCAAGGTCTCCTGAGATGTCTCTGGCTTAGCCAGGGTCCCATGTACAGATAAACTGAGCTGGCCACCAGCTTCTGCATGCTGATGCCTCGGAAGACCAGGGACTAGAGCTAGGCCAGCAGACAAGACAAGGAACGAGCCTCCACCTCTGTGGGTGCTGCTGGCTGTCCTCACAGCTCCTGGCAGCTCTCTTCACATGGTCTCCTCAGTACAGGCCCATTCTCCCTCATTCAAGGTCTTCCATTCCATGAGTCCCTGCAATGTCAGCCAAATGAATGGCTTTTCTGCTAACTTCTCTAGCTCCAGAGGATCACTCTTCCTCATTCCTAACACGGGGACAGCAATTCAGTGGCTTGAGTAGGGACTGAAAGCTACACATACTGGAAAGGACCACGGCCCACACCTGAGATGTAACAGGTGCTCCAGCTATGCAGACATTGATGAACTCAAATTCCACTAGTGAAGGTCCACAGGGTTAGAGATATAAACAGTGAAGGAAGTAGAGCTTTGGCAACATGCCCAGCTTTTCACTTAGCTCTGTGACTGAACAAGTTGTGTAACTTCTAAGCCTTGGCTTTCTCATTTGTAAAATGGCTGTTTACGGATGGAAACATGCATAAAGCCCCCAGCAGAGCATCACACGCACCACTCAGATTGTGGCTCGCTACTGCTACCACTGTGCTGTGCAGCCTGAGGCGTCTGTGGCCATCTGAGCTCCAAAGTCCAATGCTTGGCTCTGCAGCTGTGCTCTGTTGCCTGGGATCAGACAGAATAAGTCTCATGTGTGGGATTATGGTTTCCACGTGCTGAGTCTGACCATACACGATTTACAGCCCAGACCCACGAGGGGTTGAAGCCACACGACTGGGAGGAGATATCTCGCAAACAGCTAGCTTCTTGCAGTTGTGACTCTCAGTTCCTCAACTGGGGCCAACACAAACTTCAGCAGTCACACGGCTTTGGCCCCATCTCCAATTATGAGGTCCCTGAAGGCAACACATCATTGTCTGAATTCTGTGCAAGTGGCTAAAGGCTAAAAAATGTTCACATGGAACTCTCCAGTAACTTTTGGGCCAAGTTCCTGTATGAGGCCATGCCAGGAAAGCTTGAATAAGTTACTTTGGAGGGCAGGACCCAGGGGCCTCTTCTTGGGCTGCAAGACCCACCCAGATATTTTCCAGACTTAGTTCTCAATCAATACACACACAGGTCTGCTTGCTAATCCCCCAGGCCTCACTGCTGATGGAGAAGTCAGGAAAAAAGTTTTAACTAGGATACTTCAACCTATTCTTGGGAGCCTCATAGGGAAGGATAGAAAATCTCAATACCAGACAGAAGCCCTGAGCTTATGAGCCCAGCTTTAGAAGCAACCCCAATTATCTTGGACGCCTGTGAAGTGTTCTGTTTTCCCAAAATCTAGCTATCAAAACCACCATCATGAGCTCCAGGCTGAGCTCAGACCAGCCTATAATGTCAAAGCAGTTTGAGAAACTGATAGAATTAAAATAGACTCAGCTCCTAGGACAATAGCTGATGTGCATTACCTAAACAACTGAGAGGCATGAGGACCAAAACGTTTGGGTAGCAACTTACTCAAGGTGGAGCTGGATTAGACTTATTCTGCAGAGCTCTTGGCCTATCTATTTTTGTGCCCAGAAGGAAGTGCCCACAGAACACTTCTCATTTTCAAGGGCTAGCTGAAGCCCAAGTTAGTTTGATACAGCCAGAACTGATACCATCACAGTTCCTGTCTGCTTCAGAGTCACGGTGGGGCTTAACTGAAACCCCTTCAGGGGCATCACAGTGAATTGCATATATGGCTTGAACAACAGTAATTTTGTTGCTTTTCTATGCTACATAAAATAACAGGCACTTTTTTTGTGTCAATTATGTGATAGTTTACATGAGAAAACATTAGCTTTACATTCATCCTATCGTATATATCGTTTCATTGTCATGATTACAATCCCCTCCATGCATCAAACAACCACAAGGGTATATCCCACAAGCCTGCTCCTTGGTTGTCAGCGCACAGCCCCTCTCCCTCTCTGGGTCTAGAGTCCCCAGCTGCTCCATCTCCACAACATCGTCTCTGTATAGGCACTTTCTGATTCATATAAAACTTATCAGTAAAAAATGTTTCTTTCCATCCTTTTACTTGGGTATGTTGCAGACACTTTTTTTTTCATTTTTGATTCACCTCTTTAGTTCCCCCACACCCCTCAATAAGATTTACAGTTTGAGAATAGGAAAAAACAGTCACAAAAAGATCTAATCACCTTACCATTTGGGCATAATTTCCTTCTCATCTTTCTGCTTGTAGGCACTCTCCCCTTTACATAGTGGAGGTCATACTATAGATAGAATTTTACACCCTACTCATCTTCAGCATTTTTCTACCAACTTTTTGAAGCCCCCTTGCATGTCATTCTATGAATGATGTATACCATTTAATCAATCTGATACTGAAAACATTTCCAATGATTTATTATAAATACAATAAACATCTTCAGCCAGATGTCAATTAGGTTATGGTTTAATGATAGATTACTGGAAGAGTAATTGAGCCAAAACATGTTAACATTTTGGGGTTCTTAAAACAAGTTGCCAAATCATAGCAGAAAGGACAAAAGATATGCTAGGATCTTGGAGCAACAATATTAAAAGTTATAGTGAAACTAATTTTTCTAAACCAAGTCCAGCTTGGTTTAGAAGGGATGTCTGTCCAGCAGCATGAAACAAGATGGCTAGTGGTAAGGACTCTGCTCTGTGAGGCCCTGACGCCTCTCCTGGAGCTAGGAGCAATCTGAACAAACCAGCCTTCGAGCTCCCTGATGGCTCCATCCAAACACCATGGCAGGACACTTGCATGACAATGTGGTTCGGACACTTAAGATGACAGGAATCAGGCTGGCTCTGGCTTTATCACTATCATCTGAATATGGCTTTAACGAAGAAGAGGCTCCCTGAGCCCTTCTCCCTACCAAGTCCAGTCCCTTCCCAGCCTGTACTGTCCAGTGAATGTCAGATGGATCTGACACTTCAGTCTGAAATAGGCACCATTCTCATTTATGGAGAAGAAAAGTAGTGCTCAGAAGATTAGGGGACTTATTCAAGGACACAGCATGCTAGAGCTGGGATTCACGCCCAGCTCCTGTGGTACCAAACACTGCAGTGGCAGACAAGCGAAAAGATACTCGATGGAGGCCACTGAGCGCACCCTTATCGGGGATGTGCTTTGACCACCACCAGCTGACATCTCAAGGCACTCGATAGCGTGGGAGTCCTAATGAAGGGGTGGTCTCCTGGCTGTGCAGCAGCCTGTTAACCACTGGGCCTGCCCTGGCTTCTGGCTACATGACTCCAAGAAGGGAAGCCAAGATCCAACACAGAATTGAAGGCAGATGGTGCAGAGAAAATGGAGAGGAGTTTCAAGGAGAAAGAGGATACTCCCTACTGTCTGGGAACATAAAGTATACTGATGTTAGGTCTCTGGCCTCCCTTAATGAACAAGCAGGGACTATCAGAGCGGGTAGATGTTATACACTGGACTAATACAGCTTTAGTATCCACTGCAGAGAACACCATGGAGCCCTGGTTGTGCAATAGTTAAACACACTCGCTGCCAACAGAAAGCTTGCCAGTTTGAATCCACCAGGTGCTCCAACGAAAAAGACCTGGTAATCTGCTCCTGTAAAGATTATAGGCCAGGAAACCCCACAAAGTAGTTCAACTGTCCTGCAGGGTCATTATGAACTGAAACCAACTTGATGGTTCACAACAACAATGCAGAGGACACTGCCCTGGCTACCGGCTGCATGTACTTCTGTGTGCCAGAGACAAATGCAGCTCTGTGGACACCTAGTGCTTTACAAGAGAGAGGCCACTGGGCCGTTGCTGGGGATGAGGCAATAGTCTGTTCTTTCACCACAGAACAGCCCTGCCAGGGGCAGCTCCTAAGGAATTCAATCACAGAAGAATTGACACATACATGTTCACATCTACACGAGCCAGAGCATCATGATTTGTTGCTGACACAGTGTACAAATAAGGCCACTTTACACTTCAATGTGCACCGAACACTACATGTGGAGAACATTTTAATATACATGATCTCATCTAATCTTGACAACCAAATCCTGGGCTAAACCTTTTCAAGCTCCAACACCTGAGAAATCTTGAGGTCCAGAGAAATGAAGTAACTTGCTCTAGGTTGTAACTAGTGTGGACAAGTGCGAGGACTTAATCCCAAGGCCCTGCCAGGTGAGAAGCCTGTCTAGCACATTACCCTACCCTAGTGTGAGAGCCCATTACTGAGGCCAGGGTTCTATGCTGGCCAACACAAGTGTCACCCAGAGTGCTTTGGGTGCCTAAGCGCAGCAAGACCTCCTTGGGTCCCCCAGTCCTCGACGCCTGTCCTTGACTAGTCCCTGAAAAGAGCTCCCTACCTGGATATGGGATGGAGAGGAGAGTGAAGTCGGCATAGCGCTGGGCTTTGTCCACCTTCTCAGAGGAGGTTACACTACAAGACAGGGACACAATGTGTTACAACATCACAACACACACACACAGACCACACCCCAATTGAGCATTGCAGTACTCAATGCACTTGCTGTTGGAAGTAGCCAGCTTTCAGAATTAAGAATGACTTCCTTCAGTGGTGCTTCTTTTGAACAGTGAAGATATCTACCTTCTCTGTACTCTACTGTAGCATATTGGGTGAGGGAGTTTGATCCCCCTTGACAGTTATCAGTAGACCTCAGCTAGCACGTAAAGCTAGAGGACAACCTTCCACCAAAGTCCACCAATGCAGACAGTATAGTTAGTCTGACCCAAGAGGGGGTTTAAGGGTTCTCCCTTTCTCTTCCCTATTATCTTCTCTAATATTCACCAAGACCACCTTCTAAACAGGATTAGCACACAATATAGGAAAAGGGAAATACTTGGGACTACCCAAGAGGTCTGCAATTTGAACCCCAGCTGCTCCACAAGAAAAAGATGAGGCGGTCTGTCTCCATAGAGATTACAGCCTTGGAAGCCCCGTGGGGCAGTTCTCTGTTCTACAGGGTCACTATGAGGTGGAATCAACTTGGTAATGTCCAATGATAATTCTGAAAGATGAAAGGGAGGAAGGAGGAAGAGAAGAAACTATTCACGTGGCTACAAACAGCTGAGCTGGGACTTTAGCTTCACTATGGCCTTATTTTTAAGACTACTTAACATAATTAAGAATTTTACATATGTATAAATAAACCATTGTTAAGTGCCATTGCCATGAGTCCCTTGCGATTCACAGTGATCCTATAGAGTTTCCAAGGAGTAGATGGTGGATTTGAACCACTGACCTTGCAGTTCAAATATGATTTTATACAAATAAATAAAAGCATTTAAAATGTTGGGAAAAGTTTCTCCATTTTCATTTTTTAAATGCCTTGTTCTGGGAAGGTATGGTCCATATGCGTATTTTTATATGGCAGTAGTCATAAAAGTACTGGGTCCATACTGATTTTGGGTTCCACTTAAGAGAATCTGATCTGCCAAAGCTGGAGTGGGGAGTCAGGGGAGACAACAAGGACATCTGAAAGGGCAGCAGTAGAGCAACGGTTAGAGAGCCGTGACTCCCTCAGTTACTAGCTATATGACCTTGGGCAAGTTACTTGACATCTGTGCTTCAATTTCTCATCTGAACAAGGGGGACACATACATTCTCTCATGAAGCGCTCAGCACGTGTTAAGCACTCAACTGCTAGCTACCTGCACTCTCTGTCACGAGCGTGTGGACCCATCACCTCCACCACTTTCTGGTGGGTGCCTGTACTTACTTCATGCCAAACTTCACCTTCTTGTTCTCCACCATCAGGTCACAGATGTATTTGACTGACAGGTACCGAAGCAGCTTGATGTCATAGCCTCTGACCTTATCAAAAAGATGTGTGTCATTACTTCTGAAATGAAGAAGAGACAGGCAAGTCAGACAGGCGCGTGTGCTCAGAGAAGTCTGGGGGCAGAGCTGCTAAAGGGAGCATGGCGTCACTGGCAGAAGCCTGAGGCAGCACCAGGGCAGCCCAACTGGTTCCAGGGAAGGTGACTTTCTAAGAGATTACTCAGCTCGAGGACAGATTTCAAAGAGGAGCAATTTGAAGCCCAGAAATGGGAAAGGGTTTTTTGGCATCACTTGACATTAAGCCAGAAGACTCAAGATAATCTTAAAGTTCTGAAGAGCAGCAAGCTGGTGGCTGATAATGTCTAAGCTTTTCTGAGTTCCATTAGCAGTTTATCTCTCTGCACTGCCTCTATGCCATTCCCCCACCCCCAGCCTCCCACCCCATGGCCAATTTTAGCCACAAGACCTGCTCAAAATGTACACTGAAATTCTTGTTGGGAGATGGACTCAGAGTATTTTATCAACTGACTGTGAAATACTAACAAGGGAATTCTCTCTACTTAGCAGGCCTATAAAGCAAGAGGAAGAGAGAGCTTCTAATCCCCAGGCTGCCTTCTGATCAGCCATGCAGATCCAGGCAAGTGGAAAGAAGCAGTCACCATTACTCTACAGCGCACTACTCTGAATGCTGCGGAAGACAACCCAGTGAAGGTGAGGTCCATAGATGCTGGAGGGGGCGCCAGGCATTCCTGAGGGCAAGTCCAAGCTGCTGCCCTAGAGCTACCAGGCTGATGATGGCCCAGTCAGCCCTCCAGTCTCATTTTGGGGGCTGACTTTACTAGGTGCTCGTGTGCATACCATTACAGATATTCACATGGTACAAAGAGTACAGAGCAGCTTTTCCAAAGTATTCTAGAGTGAAGAGAGGGCAGGACATGTGCAAGCCAGCCCATCTCCTTCCCTTAAAAGGAGCTCAAGTTCTCCTTGGTATCAAGCTCTTACTTAGGGCCCAAGTCACACGACTATGAAACTTGCAGTCTCTACATTCCAGGTGAGACTGCATATGCCTGTATGCAAGAAGCCTGTGATGCTTGACCTGTGCCCACCATCTGGCCTCACAAAGGATGCTCTGTGAGCCAGTCTGTTGCAGAAGTCAGGAGATAGCTGGAGAAGAGAGGACTGCTCAGATCTGCTGTGCAGCTAGGATGCAGAAAGACTGCAGCAAGTATTCAATAGTCAGCTTTAGTGTGAAGTCACCTATGGACCTGAACAGCTGTACTTTTGGGGTGTGGTGGATGGGGGGAAAGGGTTCAATCTACAGCTCTAGGGCAATGAGGAGAACATACTCTCAGTGTGAAAATGGCCACCCCAGTACACAAGCCAACTCCTAGTGACCCAGCACTGACCGGAGAGCGCAGTCCTCCTCTGTGATGTCCTCGGCGTCTGCCCACGCGTCATCTGCACCCCCTGACAGAGAAGCCTGTATCAGTGGTTCTACCCAGGGGCCTCCTGACCTGCTTCCAACCTGGCAGTACCCAGGTGGGCAGGGACACTTTGGCATTCCCTGGAGGGATGGCCACATGACTCCACACAGTGGTCTTATCCTCATTTGGATGCCCATTTGTCTCCCGGGCCCTGGTGAAAGGGAAGCCCTGATCTTCACCGTGCTCCCCAGCCGCCGCCCCACCCTCACCCCCACTTCTCTGGCAGTGGGCACAAGTCTTGGTCTGGGTACTTGCTCTTGTGCCAGAAGATGCTGCTTGCCATTCACCTGAGAAAATGTAGTTGTAGCCAGTGCGTCCATACAGCTCCCCCCATCCTGCCAGCGTGGCCGACCTGCATATGTGCTGGGAGAGAGACAGCAGGGTCAGGGTCAGAAGGCCTTCTGCACTCTAGCTGCTGGAGGAGCAGCTAAGGTTCCTGACGCTGCCAGGCCAGCACCTGCAGTTTTTTAATAGTCAGGCTACAGCCATCAGGCAGAAGCAACCCTAGAACCTAGCCCACAGCCTCCATGCTGCACCAGAGCGCATCCAGCAGTGGACAGAGGTCGTATGTGCCCTGAGTCTTCACACCAAGTCCTCTAACTGGACAAACACAAGGGCTACACAAATGGATGGTGGCAGTTTTCCAAATGGAAAAAAGAGAAATAAGCACAGGGATGTTGCGTGATGTGTAAGGTCACACAGGAGGGCCAAGCTGGGCCAAGGGTCCAGACTCGCTGACCACAAGTCCCTTCTCTCCCGGCCTTGTTTTTTGCTTGGAGCTGGGTAGCACCTGGGGATTTCTTTTAAAAAAACAAATAAAAAACCCAAGCATAGCTTCTCTTTCCACTAACAAGGACAGGACATAGCTGTAACTACTTAATAATTTATTATTTTCTTCATCACTAAGGGGATCAGTTTGAGGGTTAGAATTCCAGAAACAAGCCAACCAGCATGAACACCAATACCTAGTTGTAAGATGGTCCCTTTGATAAGTTGTGTGGGGTGGTGCGCTCTAGGAGTGTAGGATGGTGGTGGGGAAGCTGAGGACCTGGGAGGGGTGTCAGCCCCATGAGTGGACTACATGGAGTAGAGACACAAGATGAGGAATAAAGTTCATTTCTGAATGAACAACGGGTGCCTGGTAGATTGCAAAATCGAAGGAAGGCGTGTGGGTGGAAACCAGACACTCTTCTGGCTGAGGTAATAACAGCTCAATGAGGGGGTGTTGACGCGACGTAGGTATGACCTGAGGTGGGTGCTTATCCACTGCTGGGGTGAAAACCAGTTAATAAACTGTTCTGAAACCTAAATAAAAGGACGTGGACTGGGATTCCCAGGGGCCTAACAGGGTGCACTGTAGTTAGCTGGGGCTACTGAAGTTTCTGGGTCTAACAATACTTTAAAAATCTGATGAAAACTATAAACTGTCTCCAGAAAAAAAGAGCACACCATGGTTTTCCGACATTTCCAGGAGTTTCTGGACTCTGCTAGGCCTATCCATCCTTGTTAAGAGCAGTGCCCTTCAAGGCTTGAGGAACCGTGAGGTGGAGTACCTTAGCAGCACTCCATCTGAGAGGTCCCCTAAGACTCCAAGGATCAGGGAGGTTGGGTTTCTGACGGCAAACAAGACTGGGAGGCTACCCAGCTTGCTGCAGTCTGAGGTGCACTATATGGTGTGCATCCATTCATCTAAGCTGCTGGCACCCAAGCCTCACTCTTGCATTTTTGACTTGCTAAATGTTTCCAGAGCAGCCATATCTCTCTCTGTGACTGTTGAACTTTGAGACAGATTCCTGAATTCTTTTCAAGGTTCAGAAACCTCCTTCTGCTTCCATTCTTCTCCCAAGTCCCTTCTCGCTTGTCCTTGGCTTTTTGGTACCCAAGGCTATAGCCCTAGGCCCAGAAAGATGTGTACAAGGAGAGAGAAGCAATCTGTCAACTCCCCAAGTGAGCACAGAGCTGTGCAGAAAGGACCCTGCCTGCCTGCACATCCAAACACTGGACACCCACTCCTGGGCCCCACCATCCCATTCCCAATCCAGCATTCCGGCACCTTCCAATTTGCTGCTGACTGAAAAATCAACATGTACTTTGAATGCTCTTCATTCCTCTAATTAGGAGCGGTTCCAATGCTATCTGTCAAACAGGGTTCGGCAGGATTTGATAATATAGTAGTCAACTTTGGTACAAAAAGGAGAATGGCGGACTTATGCTCCCCACACAAAGAAAAAATGCTCCAATATTATAGTCTGAAAGCCAGATGCAAGTGTTGGGGGGGAAATGGTATAGGGAGAACGTCTTACCCTTCAGTCCTTGAACTGGTTTTGAAGGAAGATTTCCATTGACAAGCCATTATTTAACATACCTCCCCACTTCTTCAACCTGGCAGAGCTATGTGCCTCTACAGCAGAGTTGGAAGTTAAGTATTGCCAACAATACATGCGTTACCAAGGGCCTACCATGTGCCACAGGCCTCACAACAGAAAACCCCTAGGCTCCTCATCTTCCCCATTTGTGTGAGCACAGGGCTCAGGCCAGCTTTATCCAAGACCTACCTAAACATGCACGTACAAGTGGGCACTTTGCTAGGGGTTGGGAGTACAGGAGTAAGACAAGAGCTCTATTCTCAAAGGGATGACAGCAAAGAGGAAAGGACATTTAAACACATGATTAAAACAAGTCAAGGATAGTTCAGAGGTATGAAACGGTATCATCATATTGGCTAGAGATGGAGCAAAGGAAGAGGAAAGCAGGATTACTAGCAAAGCCCAAAACCTTCACTAGCATCTAAGAACACTAAAGACATCTCAAGATTAATCCTGCATAGCAGCAACTCATTGTCACCCTTCTGCAATCAGTGAGTCTCTTTTCGCAGGTCCACCTACTCAGAGATATTTAGCTTCCCCCC